GAGGCGGGGAGAGCTGGGGCTGGGCAGCCTGGGGAGGAGAAGGCTGCGGGGAGACCTTAGAGCAGCCTTCCGGTACTTAAAGGGAAAGGATATATATATACTATAGGAAAGGTGGGGGCAATCTTTTTAGCAAGGCCTGTTGTGACAGGACAAGCTTTTAAACTAAAGGAGCGTGGATTTGCACTAGATATAAATAAGAAATTTTTTACAATGGGGGTGGTGAAACCCTGGCCCAGGTTGCCCAGAGAGGTGGTCGATGCCCCATCCCTGGAAACACTCCAGGCCAGGTTGGCCGGGGCTCTGAGCACCCTGAGCGAGTTGAAGATGTCCCTGCTCACTGCAGAGGGGTTGGACTGGATGACCTTTAATGGTCCCTTCTAACCTAACCCATTCTATGATTCTATGATATTCTTTCCACGTAACACCACTTTAAATTGCATCTCAAAACATGGTACACGTACACTGGCTCTTGGGGAAATGCCTTTTTCAAGGCAGCAGAACAATTTAATTTGAATAATTGGTTGTAGAATTTACTTGGTCAGATTACTAATTTTCATCAAACCAAGGCTGTAAAATTAGTTTATTTTTTCTTGTTTTATTTCAGCTTAATATATATAATGAACTAAATTATAGGTGCTTTTTAAATGCCACCACTGGTGGGAATCATATCTGAATTTAAAAAAATGGTTGTAGTCAACAAACAAAAACATTTGTGCCAGTCCTGAAGATGCTGAAGTGCTGTTCACTCTGCTGGTATAAACGGCCCCGTTACCTGAGAAGGCAGCCTCTGAAGAAGAAAACTGCTTCACTGCTAACGATGCCTTCCAATCAATGAACAAAGTTACTGCGAACAGGTGTTACACGGGCAAGTGCACACGTCAGGCTCGGCCGAAGGCGGGAGAGCGGGCGTTCGCACTGGTTGCAGGTAGTGGGTGCTGGGGGGGAGGTGGGGGCCTCACCTCGCTGAAACAATTCAGTTTGGATTTGGGCCAGTTCAGTATTTGGTTTTGCATTTCAGGGTTTATTTGCTAGTGAAGCTGTTGGTGTGTCTATGTCTGTACAATAAGCACAACGGAAATGAGATATTTTGATACAAAAAGCATGAATATTTCAATGTGTGTTCACAAAGATTACAAAATAATCACTAGCAATATCAGAATATAAGAGGAAAACAATTCGAAATATAAAAAAATAGAGAACCTTTTTAATTTTGAAAACAATTTACATTTTAAGATGATTAAAAATTCATAATATTTTTACACACTTTCTCAACTTGCCTTTTTTGTTCAGGTAGTAATGCAATGCTAGCTTTCAAATCAAGAGTAAAGAAATTTAAGTTAATGTCCATTTCTGCTGCCTGCTGGAGAAGCTACAGTATTTTAAGGAAAGTACATCCAAGCTCTGAATAAAAAATCTGAGGTCGTGCCCTGTAAGAAGGAAAGCAATAGTGTATGTGTGATGAAGAGTAAATGTTTCTGTGAGAAATGCCTGATACAGCAACAAATTCCTAATTACAGAAATGCTCACAATGGGTTGAAATTATGTTAAATGCCGAGCAGGGCTGCGGATGAAAAATGTGTGTGTGCAATAGATATTTATGCAACTTTCAGCACACGAGCAGTTTGTTGAAGTCGGTTTGACTGCTGCTTGCTTGAGATGGTGTGTGAGCCAGTACTTGCGGGTTCTGGATTGTTAAATGCTTGTTCACGTTCCACACGTCTACGATGAGCACAGACAGAGCTTAGGACAAAGGCGGCAGGCGTCGGAGAGGGCACTGAGGGTAGCACAGGTAATTCCCAGATTGGCCAAATTTGTGACAGAAACTATTCTGAAACAGAATGTAGTGAATTCCAATAAACAGCGCTACAAATTGCAGCGAAGCACCGCTTTTTCACTCTGTTTAAGCGTAGTTCAGCTTCAGAAGTGTTCTAGGATAAATAACCCTCATCCCTCCAAATTATATTCCTAAGCAAGGCTTCAGAAAATAAATGGAAGCAAAGCAAACACAGGGTGGTGCTGGGCTGGAGTTGCAACTCGTTTGTACTGGAAGTGGTCTCTTTTAGCTAGACTAAATAAGCAAACCATTGTCAGGAGATGAAAATACACTTTAAAGAAAAGAAGCAGCACTTCAAAGGGTTTTCTTTATCTCTTGGCAGAAGGTTACTGTGAAAATCCAGATCCCTCTCTTGGCTGGATCGGATTCATGGTTCCTGCAGGTCCGTAAGGACGGTGGGATCGTCTGGCTGCAGCGGAGTCGTACGGTGTGTTCTCCGGGATGAGCTGTTCTGCTGGAAGAGTGGCTGGGGTGGGGGGGGGGGGTTGCTGTGATAAAGTCCCACGCTCCCTCCCTGCTTTTGAAGAATAATGGCACTCTCATCTGAGAGAATAAGAGATCTTTTTCTTTCTCTTTTGTCCGGTTTTGTCAGTGTCAGCTCAGAAGAGGTGACAGACAACAGCCAGTCTCCAAGATGGACGTGCTTTGTTGTGTAAATTCTGGCCTGATAGTTTACACACGATATTGTCTGGCGGAAAAGCACCAGCGTCTTCTCTAGGTGCTTTTGTGTCCTGGGAGTTGCGTTTTTTTGTTTTTTTTGTTTTTTTTGAAAACCAATAAAAATGTTAATTCCAAAAGCAGGGAATCTCTGGGTTGTGAGGTTTCACTGCATACACTGACTGACCCATGGGGGAGGAAGGGAGCGCAGCTCAAGCTTCATGATGCCAGCTATTTCCCACTCTGTGTACGTTCACCATCATCATGTGTAACTATCTGATTGCAAAACCAATCCATGTTGTGTACCTGGATCTCCCAGCTCCAACTCTGACCACCCCTGTGGAAAAAGTAAAGCTTGGTTATAAGAAAAACATTTACAGGGCTTTCGAGAAATTTATTCAGTGTTTGAAGAACCAATTCTTCAAACGCAGAAGAATTTCCAGTACCTTCTTTTGCACACTTCCTCAGTGAAATAGGACCATCTACAGAGAAACGAAGCCTGCCGAGCGAAGGAGCCGTAGGGAGAAGAGGAATCGCTCGCAGACCACAGAGGTGACCTCTGGGGCGTGGGAACCTGTGGCACGCACAGCGCAGGGCGATGCCTGCGTCCTCCCCAGCGCTCGCTGCTGCCCTTCGGGGACTGCGCCTGCGCTGCCCTTCTGCCTGCAGACTCAGCAGTGTGAGTTCATCCTCCTTTCTAGAGGTATCTGAAAAACCCTCCGGCCCTCCAAGGGAGATCAGTCCTTCTCAGCGGTACGTTCGTCCTGGGACTGAAGGAACAGTCCTCCGCCAAGAAACTGCTCTGGGGAGCGGCAGCGGGTGGCAGAGAGCACACACATGCGAGGGAGGGTGGGCCGGATTCACACACAGCTGTCTGCGCTGCATTACCACAACAATAGTCACCAGCTTGCATGCTGCTAGCATGACTTTAGGATCCTTCTTCTTCACAGGCTAAATCCAATCATGGAAAAAAACAACTAGCACGTCCAGAGTAATGCCTGTTCATGACAGAGTCCTCAAAGATCTTTCAAAGAACTTCACAAAAACAAATAATTTGGAGTGATCCCTGGAGAGGGAAGCAGGGTGGGGAAAACGTCGTGTTGCTTGGTTGGATGCACTGCAGACCTGTCAGTCCGAAGGAGGATTCGGAAGCACAGAGCAGACCCAGACAAGGAAAATTACAAAAAGAGCAGCGCCGTGGGTCATCGCAGTCGAGGTGATACCTGGAAGCCCAGCAAGCCGTGCTTCTGCCTGCTGTTTTTGTCCTGAGACTGCAGATGTGCATAGGGGCAAAGTGGCATTCCTAGTGAACGCAGCAGTGTGTGGCAGGCAAGGAGGTGATGACCTGTTGGGACCAGTTCTGCTCTGGAGGTACTTTTCACACCATCGCTACTTACCGCTCTCAGTCAGCAGTGGGAAGCAGCTCATTGCTGGGTGGAAGTTCCCTCTGGCTGGCAATGAGCAGGTCATGGAGGCCCGATGTTTGGGGAGCCTGGAACCTGAGCAGTAAGGAAAGGTGGGGTTGGGAAGCCCTGGAAACCTCTTTAGGCATCGTGCACTCATTCTTGCTTGGGTATGTTACCTAAGCATGACCTGTGTTTCTGCTGTGGCTTCAGATGACGTGCCGGATCTGCTCCGCTCTGAGCTGGAGGATCCTCCTGACCGTGCTGGAGGAAAAGAGCAGTGCTGGGGCTCTGCAGGAGAGTCCCTTTCCAGGATCCCATGCTTTGGTGACTGTCACTGATGGGATGCAGAGGACAGGACACTGGTGATAACCTGTCTGACCATCTGGTCATGCTGGCCTAGAGGAGTGTCTATGTCAAGCCATGGCAGAGACCTGACAGACTGCCTTCATCTCCTGTAGTGCCTCCAAATCCTTGGAAAGTCTCTAGAAATAGAGCCTAGGAAGGAACTGATCTGTAGGCTGTGTGGACAAAACAGGGGACTGGAGTCATCAGCAGAGCTGTCTTGCAACCAGTGGCCCACACAGTGTCCCGTGCACCCAGCCAGGCCTTGCTTCCCCTCCACCAAACTCACGGTGTGGCTTGGCGAGACCTCTGTGTTCCTGCTGTGCTTACAGCAATAACTGGTCTCCACACCAGGCAAAAATGAAGATTGTTGACGGATTTATTTCAGGAGAGGCTACAGCAGTGTTGATGAGGAGGGCAAAGGCTCCAAGGAGCTGAGCATCCGAGAGGGTGAGAACCTTTCGGCATGCTCCCACTCCTCCTTGATCAATGGTCATTCATTTGCCGTTTTATTTTCCAGGCAATATAGCCAGAAACAGCCTGTGTGCTGGTGGGCTAGAGGGTGCTAAATGTCCTAAATGGTTTTAAAATAAGGCTATAGATGGTATCTGGCGATGGTAAACCAGGGACAAGACCCGGATATCCATAGCCAGCAAACCAAGAGCATCCGTATGGCAATGATGTGACACAGCTGAGCCAGCGCAAGGCAAAGCCTTTTCTCACAGATCACAGCTCTCTATTAAAGCCAGTAAAGTTTATGATACTGGAGAACCTTGCGCAAACCAGACAACAGCACTCGCTGCAGACAGGGAGGACAGGGAGGTGGGGGGTGCTTGAAGGGCCGGGGCAATGTGTGGTCCAGGAGCAGCGCAGCGCTGTCTGCCTGCCACCAGTCCCGGGGCTGGGAAGCATCTGGGACAGCAGGCTGGAAGAACTTCGTCAACCACGAGTTTTCCGACAGTATCTGTATTTTGTTTCGTACCAAGAACAAGGTGATATTTGATGGAAATTCGAAACAATCCACGTAATTGGCCTGTGGAGGTCAGTGCTGTGGGAAGTCACTGGGGGATGCTTAGCAAAGGGATGGGATGACAGTGAGAGCAAAGGACGGTCCAGAGGGGTGTTCAGCGGTTTTCAGGGCCACAGTGCTGCACACATCAAAGCGCCAGCTCTCTGAAGAGGTGTCTCGTGGCAAATCACTTCTGCTTCTGGCTGGAGCAGCCGGTTGCGGCTGCTCACGCAGGCAGGCCAGTGGGTTTGGCAGACCTCAGGCTTGCTGCAGTCGGACAGTTTCTGTGTATCTGCCCTGAGGATGGTCAGTAGGTGTTGGTATTGCCAGGTGATGCAGGATTCGGGGAGTCTGCCGAGCTCAGTGCTGCAGCCCACTTCTGGTATGTGCCCACAGAAGAGATTTTTGAAGAAGCATGCTCCTGGGTACAGCAGCGTGGGTCATGAGGCACTTTGTACCTGAGCGCTTTTATGAAACATGGACTCAGGATCGTTGGGCAGACAGGAGACTGTAACGGAGGGGAGATTAAAAGATTTGTCCAAGACTGCACAGGATGTCTGTGCCAGAGCTGGAAAGGAGACCTGTGTCACCTGAGTTGTGATTTAAACTGAGTAACAGTCATTCTCTGACAATAGGTACACGAATTTGGTACTGTGCCGCCGTGGTGGCTGGGCCATGCTGCCAGTCCCTGGCATGTCCAGCTTCCACGGCTCCAGGACCCAGCAGGCATCTGCAGGCGCTTGCAGTGCCTGTTGAGCAGTTTGGGCTGGGAGGTCCCCAGCGCACGAAGTGCTGATGCAGGAGCAGAGCCTGGAACAGAGCCTGGTGGAGCAGGACTGGCTCTGCTCCCGCGGAAGCGGGGAGATGGGGCACGGGGAGCTCATGCGGCGGAGAAGGAGTTTTGCAGAAGGAGTTAACGCAACAGAAATAGCTTTGGGGAAGATCCCCGTAACGCTGCTGTTCTTACAGTATATTCTGCTTCAGCAAGCAGGAGCATTTCCAGGGCCCTGGCTCCTCTCTCCAGTTTCTGAGGGTGCAAAATGTGAAGAGGTCAGAATCCCAGAATCCCAGCATGGTGGGGGTTGGCAGGGCCCTCTGTGGGTCCCCCAGCCCAACCCCCTGCCCAAGCAGGGTCACCCAGAGCAGGGGGCACAGCACCGCGGCCAGGCGGGGCTGGAATGCCCGTTGCCCACCTCCGTTACTCACAGTCCGTGTGTCTCGCCGTTGTTGGAGCGAGCAGCATGGCTGCCAGAAGGAAGGGGCCAGCACCAGCTTCTGAGAGATGACCCCAT